CCCCACACACACACTTCTGTACTTATGCAGTCCCGCATTCCTACGTGCGGGCAGGTTGCCTACACCCTTACTCTGAGGTGTCCTGCCCCTGCCCCAGCAAAAGGGCGACATTAGTTGGACTGGACACTCTAGATTTTCACAGTGTACCGGTTGATTCAGAGCACGCGCCGCCGTCTTGCGGGTTTGCCTATCCTCGACTCGGCGGGCGCACGGGTGGGAGGTGAGGAGGCCAAACCTGTGGGGCTGGTCGGCACAAACAGCCGTCGTCGCGGTGGCAAGGTAGGGATTGCTACCGGCGCGAAATGGGAGTAAGAGAGACAATAGACGAACGGGTTAGGATCGCCGACCGACACCGATAGCAAACTCTATGACAACAGTGTATTTCGACAAACGGAGGAAGAAGAACAGCGGGTAGAACGTACAGTTATGTTCTACCCGTCATTCTTCTTCCTCCGTTAGTCGAAATACACTATCGAGTGTGAGAGCCCTGACTTGGCTCGAGCGAGACGCACCTTAACCCTCAATAACCTGTCAGCCACCGTCGCAAAATGACGTATCTTTCACTCCCTCGCTCTCGCTCTCTCTTGCACACGCTCGTGCCTGCGTCGGGGGTTGAAACGAAACCGCTCAGCTGCGTGGGGCCCAAAGCATTACCGCACTTTTGCCCGCGGCCGCGCTAGTTAGGTTATGTCACCCATCGGATACCGAGCACTCTCACAGAAAACATCAAGTCGGAAGTGGTGTTTCAGGTCAGGCAGAAGGAACGTTATTCGTCTTTAAATCTAGACAAGCACACGTCGCCCAAAATTTCAAGAAGATGAGCGCTTCAGCTTACGAAACTAACGTTGTCAACCTCCCCGCCCCACCGCGAAACGCACACACACAGTCCTACCTTATTCTTGTGAAGTGAATGGAGTAGCGATGATGACGGGTTTATCCTCGGCTTCGTGAGTGTCTGGGCGGCAAAGTAGGAAGGGACCTGGGAGTCGTAGTCGAGCGTGACAAAAATCCAACGACAGCAGTCACAGCCGCAACGACGCGACAGAGGGGTGAAAGTGTGTTGGCTGGCGCGCGCTGGAACTGCCACTGGCTTCGCGGAGGGGAGGGGGGAGCAGGGAGGGG